CATCTGTCAACGGATTTCCTTCCACCTTCCGCTCTAGATCCCTGACGAGGTTCATGGTATGCTCTGTGAGGCAGGATGTCATCATGGATGGCAGGTGCACTTCTTGTTACATCCTGTCCTGTGTGGCTGTGCCGTGGTTCAGGGCATGTGTGCAGCCACTCATGTGGTGAAGCCCTGATTTTCTGTCTGTGTTCACTGTGGGGTTCTCTAACAGCCCGTTACCCCAGCAGCCCATCAGTGCCTTTATGAAGGCCCCACTCGAGAGTCACCAGGACTCCACAGTACACTCCCCGTTGCTGGCTCTCTTGTGCGGTGGGGAGTGTTGGAGATGATAGTATCTTGCCTTATGGCCCATTCTCTTGTGTGGTGCGAGTGTTGGAAATAGTATCTTGCCCTATGACCTAGGCTGCTCTTGACTCTTTTCTTTTTACATTTATTTTATGCATTTGAGTGTTTTGTCTACATGTATATATGTGCCTGGTGCCCACAGAGGGCAGAGGAGGGTGTCACATCCCCTGGAACTGGATGGTTGCAGATGGTTGTGAGCCACCATGTGGATACTGGGAATCGAATTCCAGTCCTTGGAGGAGCAACCAATATTCTGAGCTGTTGTAATAGGAGCGGCGGGGCTGCGTCCCCAACACCCCGGCCACTTGGCTAGCTCATGCCCGAAATAACAACACACAAACTGTGTTCATTTAAGAACTGCTTGGCCCATGAACTCTAGCCCTTACAGGCTAATTCTCGCACCTGGACTAGCCCATTTCTAATGATGTGTGTAAGCACCCCAAGGTGCGCTTACCAGGAAGATTCTAGCCTCTGTCCATTGTGGGTCTGAGCTTCATGCGTCTGCCTCAGAGCGCAGAGCTGTTGGGTCTACCTGGGAGGGCTGAGCATGGCGTCTCTGCTCCAGCAGAGCTGTCGGGTCTCTCCAGGAGCAGAGCAGAGTCTGACCTCACTTCCTCTTCCGCCCAGAATTCTATTCTGTCTTCTCATCCTACCTATGCTTTAACCTATCAGGGCCAGCAGTTTCTTTATTGCTCAGCCAATGAAATCAACAGATTGATATGACACTCCCACATCACTGAGCTGATGAGCCACCTCTCCAGTCCCTGCCCTTGAACGTTGGATTCTTTTGTCAGTGGGATTATAGGCATAAACTACCAAGCCCAGCCATTGATGGTTCATATGATCCAGTGCACTCAGGGCTACAAAATATGACACTATCTTAACAACAACAACAGAACCCAAAATACACACGCACAACTGGCCAGGTAGCTTTAGCAGGTCAAAACATAAACCTCCAGAACCCGTAGTGGAAGGGAAAATTAGCTGCCGAACTGGTCCTCTGGTCTGCACACAGGGCGTTGGTGCACGTGCCCAACTCCCACACGAGCACACACAGAAACGCATATGATAATCATTATAAAAAATTAAAAAATATAAGAACTATTCTCAGCCTGGAAAAATGGGGAGCAGGTGCTGGTCTGCGCAGAGCAATCAGGTCAGACGTTGTCTGCTTCTCCCACAGACCCTACTGGACCAACAGGAACTGCTCTGTGGGCAGCTTGCCGGAGTTGTGCGCTGCCTGTGGGACCTTTCTGGTACCCCGCCCACACTCATCCGTCTGCGGAAGCTCAAGTTTGCCATCAGAGTGGATGGGGACTACCTGTGGGTAAGCTAAGTCTGAGGACATGGAGCTAGTGTTGGAGTCTGCAGTGACAAGGCTTGTGTCCTTCCTGGGACTCCAGCTGCTCTCCAGCTGCTGCGATGGAAGGGGAGACCCTGCCGGGGCCTCACAATGTCAAGCACCCCAGATACTCCCTGCTCTGGATGTGGCAGATTTCTTAGTATTATATTTACTTATTTATATTTGTACATATCTGGTGTATGTGTGTACATGTGCATGCATGTGTGCATGTATATGGAAACCCTGTTTGTAGCGTGCCCATTACTTTTCCTTGGTGAGCTGTTATCTCTTCTCTGTTTTGATGGGATCTAGTCAGTGTTATCCTCTGTTGCTGTTGCCTTCTGCAGTCCTAGAAACTATTGCCTACTATTTTGGTTGCCAATTTTTAAAAACAGTCTGATTTTTTTGTTTCTAAATTTGTGTTTATAATCCCACTGGTTTTCTGGCTGTGGGTGGTGTGAGTGGACGTCAATGGTAATATTTTCTCATCCATTACCCAGCATTCCTTTGCCATTGCTGAGATCCCTAAGCACCTTTGTCAGGTGACTGAGCATGGGTCTGGGTCTGCGTGAAGATGATCAAGTCCCACATGCTGTGATTTCTAGTTTTGTGTGAGTCTTGGCATGGAGTGTCTCCCGCAGCCAGTCCCTTCCGCAGCAACTCTGACTGGGGATGCCGTTTTGTTTTCAACTGCAGTTAGTTTGTGTGCATGACTGGGAGTCCTGAGTGGGTTGGGGGTGGGAGCAGTACTCGTATTACGTGTGCTGCAGCTCCCACCACAGGACAGCCTGGGCTCCTTTCCTTCCAGGTTCCTTGACGATGTCACATTTCTAGTGACTTCCGTTCATCCCATTGGTTCTAAGGCACCGAGTACTGGCAGGCTCACATTCTAGCCGAGCATCACCTTCCAGAGAAGCGAGCCCTGGCCTTAGTATCACTGACTTAGAACTGCCGTGGCTCTGTAGCCTCCTGCTCACCATCTCTGTAATGGCACTGAGGTTAACATGCAGTGTCACAGCATGACCTCAGCACACGGCAGAAGGGAGGCCAGCACAGATGCAGCTCACAGAGCAGGCCCAGGGAGTCACTAGGATGTGGCGTGCACCAGAGCTGAGCAAGGACCTGGAATGAGCAGGAATGGGTACTTCAGGTCAGCCCCGTCACTGGGGGACAGAAGCGCATGGTGTCTGTGGAAGGCGGCCTTGCTGCAGTGGGGTCGGCTCAGCTGCAGAAGGTGGGTCAGCACACGCAGCAGCAGGTTACACTCTGGCGTTTTCATGCACAGCTGCCGCTTCGGTTGTTCTCTGCTTCTGCTTGTGGTACCTGTGTTTCCTGGCCCTCTCATTCCAGCCTACTTAAGGGGTCTTCTTGGCCCAGTGTGGTGACCTCACTTTTAATCCCAACACTCAGGAGGTAGAGACAGGTGGATGTCTGTGAGTTCCAGCACAGCCAGAGCTACACATAGTGAGATCCTGTCAAGAAAAGAAAAATGTCTTCTTATCTCCTAATGATCTCCATAATCCCCTTTCTGATTTCATGGCTCATGGACCTGGAGAGCTGGCTCAGTGGTTAAGCTTTCCTGAGCATCTGGGTTTAGTTCCCAGCACATGGTGACTCACAGCCATCTGTGACTCTAGTTCCAGGGAATCTACACCTCTTCTGGCTTCCTCAAGATGCATAGAGAACCTACTCTTGCAAGCTGTGCTCTGACCCCACATGTGTGCTGTGATCCCTACCTCCCAAAAATGTAAAATATAAACCTAAGTTCTCCATAGAAAACATGTGGTATTTATCTTTCCCAATCTTCTTTTTAATTAAAATGTATTTATTTTACAACCAAACCACAGTTTCCCCTCCCTCCTCTTCTCCCATCCTCCCTCTACTCCTCCTCTGTGTCTCTTCAGAAAGGGGCAGGCTTCTGGGTATCAACAAAGCATGGCATATCAAGTTGCAGTAAGACTAAGCTCCTCCCATTATATTAAGGCTGGGCAAGGCAACCCAGTATGAGGAATAGGGTTACCAAAAGCCATTATTTTGCTTACTATACTGATTTCTATCCATTCTACAGATGCCATGATTTAATTATGATTTCATTATGGGTACATCACGTATCAACCTTGATCTTCTGCTTCCACCTCCCAAGTGATTGGATGATTGACATATAATACCACATATCTTACAACCTTCATTCATTCAGTGTGTGTGTCTGTGTGTGTGTATCTGTCTGTCTGCATCTGTGTGCCTGTCCTCGAGAGTGCGCATGTTGGCACAGCTGCTCTGATGGCTGTGTGAGATGGTGAGAGGACAGCAGTGTGCTGGAGCTGATTCTCTCCTCCCCATGTAGATCTCTGGGACTGAACTCTTATTGTCAGACTTGGCAGCTGTGCCTTTACCCACTGAGCCATCTTACCGGCCCACAGGCATTCTTTGGTTAAGGAAGCTGCCTTCTCTGAGAGCTCTGTGGAAGCGTAGGTGGCTGAAGCTGTGCTGGTGTTGGTGGTCCCTCTGTTCTCTGTGACCAACCCTAGGCTGCTGTTGCAGCAGTTCTATGCTGGTTTTCTGACTATGGCTCTGTGGTATAATTTCACATTGCATCTCGTCAGGATCTTGTTTTTGTTGTTGTTGTTACTTTTTTTCCATGTAAATTTTATTTTTCTGAGTTCTCTGAGGACTGTTGTTTGGATTTTGATGGGGTTGTATTGACTGTGTGGATTGCTTCAATTGAACCTGGCCCTGGGTTCAAAGGCCCTCTGTCTCCCTGAGCTAGCTACTTATTTTTTTCATTTATTTTGGTTTTACAAGACAAGGTTTCTTTGTGTGACAGCCCTGGCTGTCCTGGAATTCACTCGGTAGACCAGGATGGCCTCGAACTCAAGGCATGTACCACCACGGCCGGCTTTCACTGTATTCTTCGCCTTAGTTTCCTAGACTTGGAGTTTTTGTGTCTGGGTTGTTGAGGAATTGCATTATGTTTTTCCCTTGTGTCCTATCTGCATTAGGTCAGGCTTTGTGCAGTGAGAGGCATCGCCTCATGTGGTGGGGACCAGGAGGAATGCCAGCTGGGAGAGACTGCACGTCTTCTGCACATAGATCACAAAATGAAGGGTAGCGGAAGCCAGGCTGCACACTTGCCAGAGATCTCCTGTGAAGTAGGGGCCTGCTCCCCAGCCACTTGCTCACTCAAGCCTCACCAGCATGTCCTGAATAATTTCTGTGCCAACGCTGCAAGGAGCAAGCTCCCGCGGGGTTCCTGCAGGCAGGCAGCCTCTTTACTGACACTTTCCTATAGGTCACTGACCACAGGTACTGTACCAAAAACGTGGCAACTCAGTGATTCAGCAGATGAGGACTCTGGGGCCCCTGGGCGCTTGGAACAGAGGAGGCAGAATCCAGGAATCCACCCTGAGACATATGCAGGGCAGATGGAGAGCCACTGTTAGGACAGGCTGGCATAGGGTGGTGCTGGGGAAAGTGGTGACTGAAATCTCCCTAAAGACTCCATACTGGACTAAGTCTTCATGAGGTGCTGGGGTATCACATGACCTGCTATCACCCTTTGGTTCTTTGCTGCTCAGTTCTGACCACTGGAAACACTGACATGGGGCCACACATGACATCCACAGCAGTAAATGCTGCATAGGGAATTGGATGGAGATGGCAGAGGGGGTGGTTGTCCATCAGCTTCAAATACTAGGACATGGCCACCACCTGCTGGACCTCCTGGCCATGGTGCCATTCCATCTTAAACCGTTAGGATGTCTTATGCCCAGCAAATGGACAGCCAGTACGGAAACTTTGATCTTAAGTCTTCCACTGTCACGCTCCCATCTTCCACCTTCCTTCCCGTGGTGTTCTCTCACCTTCGTGGTTTATTTTGAATAATCACAAGTAGGCTTTTGTTTTGGGTAACGATAAATAGACTTTTATTTTGAATGAATCACAGGCAGGCTTTTACTTTTTCAATAACATTGTTTAGGAGCAAAGCATTTCACATGCAATTTAAATCTGTAACCCAAAGGTACACTCAGCAATTCATTTTCAGCACTTTAAATGAGTTTCAGTAAAAGTTAAAATTCTGCACTGAAATACTGAGGCTTTTTGCCTGCAGCAGTGCCCGGGATTCAGACAGCTGGCTATATTTGTCATACAGGATCACAGGCCCAAACCTGGGACCGCATGCCACATCACGACCCACAGCTCTGCAGACCGTACAGCCTCGGCGACACACAGATACAAAGAACCCAATTCCCCGGATAACACCCTGCACCCACCCCCCTGAGACACCAACCTACTCCTGTGAAATGGGGTGGCTGGGGAAGGTGCCGATTACAAATGCACCCTGTCGTCATGACGTCCACACTAGAGCAGGCAGTGAGCACCCAAGTCTATACTACAACAGGGAACTTGTCGTGTGTGGAAGGTATGGGGGCTAAAGAACCAAACTTCCCGAATGTGGGGAAGCTTTTGGTTAGGACAGCCCTTCGGGTTAGAGTGAGGGGGCCAAGCCTGAGAGACAGGCCAGGCCAGGACCCCCTGCCCCTCTGAGAAGCTCAGTCCTCCATCCCCCTTGCTGCTTCTGTCCTCTGTATTAGCCTGATAGCATCTTCATTCCTTGTGTGCTACCCTCAACATCAGCTCTAGTCTGCTTCCTGGGACACAGCAGCCATTACTTAGGATTGGTTCCTGGCCTGGCACCCAGTAGATGGCCCTGGGTTGGGTGTGGAGCCTGTGGTTTGGGGGGTCGGTACTCCTGCTGCTGCAGGCGCTCCCTCCCCCGGGCCAGGGCCTCCAGGTACCACTGCTGCTCCTTCCACCGCTGCTTTCGCTGCTCCAGCTTCTCCCTCCTGGCTTCCAGCTCACAGAATTCCTTATCCAGCTGCCGGAGCTGTGTTTGCAGTTCCCTGTTCTCAGCAATGACACCCTGGCAGAAGTCCTTGTGAGCCTTTTTGGCCAAAGCCTCCAAGGCCTTGGCCTTCTTCCTCAGCTCTCTGGTGGTGTTCTCTCCTGACTCCAGCAGGTTCAGCTCCTCCACCTGCTTCTCTAGGGCGGCCCTTTCCTTCAGGAACTGGAAGTGTGCCTCTCTGTCCATGAAGGGCAAGTCAGCTGCTATGCTGGCTTTCTCCTGCTCTAAGGCCTGGAACTCTCTGTCCTGGCTCTCCTTTATCTGTGCTACAGGCCTCAGGGCATCCAGCTTCTTCCTGAAGCCTAGCTCTATCTTCCTGCCCTGCAACAGCTTCTTCTGGAGGCTTGCTGTGTGGGAGGTGAAGGTGCCAACCAGCTCTTGCCTCCTGACCTCAATCTCCTGACACTGTTGTCTGTAGTCTTTCCACAGGGAGTCGTACTTCCTCTGGCTTTCCTCCTTCCTCTGCTTCAGGAACTCCAGGAAGTGCTTGTCCTCTTTTTGTTCGCACTCCACTTCCTTGATGTCCTTCATCAGTGCCCACCTCCGTCTCTTAACTGCTTCCATCTCCTGCTCCAGCTTTTGCATGGCCTCCAGGGTCTTCTTCCTCACCTTCTTCTCCAGCCTGGTCATCGACTCTGGCTTCAAATAGCTGTTGAGAATGGTCATATATGGAGACTGTGCAGGAAGGGGTTGGGGGCCTTCCTCTCCTTTGGAATCCAGGCACTCACTGGGAGTGCTCTCCAGGTCTGTGTTGCTGATGCTGATCCCTGAGGAGCAGGTACTGGCCTCATGGACCTGCTTGTCAGAGGTGCTTTTACCAATTAGGGGGAGTTCCTCCATTTTCTTCTGGTCCAGGAGAATCAGTTCTGGCCACCTCACCCGGAAGTCATATACAGCCTTCTTCCTGGCCAGGGAAGGCCTGTAATAGAGGTCTTGGTATGTCAAAGCAGGCTCACCCTTCCTTGCAGGAAGTGATGGTGGTTCAACAGCCGCACCTCCCTGCTTGTCTTGGAAAAGGGTGACTCTTTTGCCGTTGGTGATCCTGGTGGTCCGGCCCTGGCCTTGGGACTCCATAGCCCCTCCCCTCCTGGGTGGAGGACTTTGCCCCTCCCAGATCCTTTGGCCCAAGGCTCAGAAGCTCAGCACCTTATCCTGGCTACAGTAGTCCCTTCTGTACATTCTCTTGGCTCTATAGTCACTGATAACCACCTCCTCAGTCTCCCCTGTGATGGGCCAGGGAGAGCAGAATGTGAACTGTTGGCTTAGTCATTAACCCTTAAGTGGCAGATTTGCCTGGTAGGCGGGGCTAGGGAGGGGCGGGGCTTGTGGCGGGACTGGAGCCCAGATAGACCTTGAGATTGGAGCTACCAGGCTAGCCTACCGGGTACTGGCTGGTTGGAAGAAAAGGCGGCGGTTCGGAGCCCGCGGCAGGAGGCACCTGGGCTTTCTCGGTCATGCACGTCTGTTGTGTCGCTAGGCGCCAGGAAGACCCTTTGCACCTGTGACCTATCCTGTGCCGGTTGGACAGGAGTCCTGGGAGGGAGGGAAAGGTGCCAAGGGCCCAGAGGCCCCCAGGCTTCTGACTTCGCTTTGCAGTATGGTGCAGTCTGGGTCTGTTCTGCCGGCCTCGGACTCCCTCCACGCTGGTTGAGTTCCCAGTGGCATGAGCGTCCTGATGCCATGGCTGTGGAAGGGTGGGGCTTGCACGGCAAGTTACCTCAGTTTCCCGGGAAGTGGGAATTCCCAGGATTGCGCTCTGTGCATCCACCTCTGTACCGCGGTTACAGCGAAGTAAAGTAGTGAAGACCCAGAGTGTGGAGCGCTCTAGAGAAGGACATGGAGGAAGACCTCCCACCAGCGGAGCAGCCAGAGCAGAGGCCCCAGCACGGCCACTGCGCTGATTGGCTCTCCCTGCTCTGAAGGACAGCTGTGACACAGGTTTCCCGCCTCCTGGCAAGGAGGCCTATGGGAGCAGCCGGAAGCGCCACTCCCTCTTAGAGCCTTGGGAGGAGGCTTCTGGGATAGGCCATGTGTGGTTGATGCTCTTCTCTGTGCTACCTCCGACCTCATCGCCTCCCTGCTCCCGGGCTTTTGGGTCTCAGTTCAGCGCTGCTGTGTACTGCTCTGTGTGCAGACACAGAGCAGGTGCCTGGGAAACGGTGCTGAAAAGGAGGAAGGAGAGTGAATGACAAGGAGGAGAAGCCGCAGGTACAGTAAGGACACTACCCGCACCTTTAATTCCAGCATTGGAATGGTGGTGGCAGAGGCGGGCAGATCCCTGTTTTGAGTTGTTTCCTTCCTTAACCTAAGGAGCTTCTCTGTGGGATGGAGTGTTTTACCCCCCTGTAAATACCTTGAGTCTCATAGGGGTTCCCTACAGACAGAAGGTTCTAACCTCAGCGGGAACTGCCGCATTCTGACAGGGTTTCCCTCTACCACTGGCTTGTCTCCCTTGCTCCCTTGTGAGAGCTCTGGGCCTGTCCTGGAGTCAGGATTTTGTCTGCTTTAGTTGCTGGAAGTGGCTTCTCTCTCTCCTCTGCCACCCATGACCTATGCAGCTCAGGCTGCTTGTTGCTTTTCTGTGTTTCTAAGTAGTTTTTGTTTTTGTTGTTGTTGTTGTGGATTTCTGGAACTCTTCCCTATTCCTCACTTGGATCAAGCCCACTGATGAAATGACTCTTTAGTGGCTGACACAGGCGGTGGGCCTTTGTTTCCAAACTGAGACCTCACACATGCTAGCCAGATGCTCCGCTGATAGCCATGCTTCAGTCCCCTGTTGAAATAGGAGCTGCGGCGGGACTGCGTCCCCAGCACCCCGGCCGCCTGGCTAGCTTATGCCCGAAATAACAACATACAAACTGTATTCATTTAAACACTGCTTGATCCATTTCTATCTAGCCTCTTCTAGGCTAATTCTCACATATTAATTTAGCCCATTTCTAATCATCTGTATAAGCACCCCAAGGTGCGCTTACCGGGAAGATTCTAGCCTACGTCCATCCTGGGTCGGAGGAGCTTCATTGCGTGCATCTGCCCGGGAGAGCGGAGCATGCCTCTCTGTCTGAGGCGTCTGGCTCTGAGAGGAGCTGCATTACTTTTGACCTCACTTCCTTTTCCTCCCAGCATTCTCTTCTGTTTACTCCACCCACCTATGTTCTAACCAATAAAATGGGCCAAGCCAGTTTCTTTATTAGCCAATGACCTTCCTCCATCAGTTCCCCACAGAGTAACTCCCCAGAAGATGTAGCTTTTAGACAGGATCTCACTGTAGTCCAGGCTGATCTGGAACACACTCTGTATGTAGCCCAAGCTGACCTGGAACACGGGATCTCACTGTAGCCCAGGCTGACCGGGAACACACTCTGTATGTAGCCCAGGCTGACCATCCTCCCTCTATCTCCCAACTGCCAGAATTGCATGCTGGAGTTATCCTGCTTGGCTAGGTGGTGACTTCACAGGCCTATGGCAGGTGCCACAGATCCTGGGTTCTGGTTGTGGCCTCAGAGAAAAGCCACAAGAACTGTCTTTGTGCTCTCCCTCTGCAGGCTCTGGGCTGTGGCGTGGAGCTCTCTGATGTCAGCTGCAGGCAGTTTCTGGATCAACTCATTGGATTCTTTCATTTCTACATGGGCCCTGTCTCTCTGGCCTACAAGGTAGACGTGCAGATTGCCAGGGGTATTAGGCCCTTCAAAGTCAGCATTGCTGGGACCAGGCCTTATTTGGGTCTGTCTCTGTATTACATGAGCCCGTCTCTGTAATACAGGGCGCAACATCTGTATTGCACGATGCCATGTGACAAGGTGGCATAAGGTGTGTCCCCATGTGTCTGCTCTCCTCTCCTCCCTGGATTGGTACCCCTTTCTTCAGGATGTTTCCTGGCTCTGTGACAGGACTGGTTATTGGAGTGAGAGCTAGGACATGTGTGGTAGGGGTGGGATGAGACAGGCCTGTCCATCCTGCTGTCTTCCTGGCGGGAAGCTCCCTGCAGAAAGTAGCAACCCTTACTAAGAGCCAGTGTCCCCATCTCAGGTACTGATGCCCTTTGTCTTTGTCTCAGAACCGTCCTCAGGAGGAGCTGAGTTTGCAGTGGGACATCGTCATCACACACATCCTCAGGAGCACCAGTGAGTCGCACAGGATCTTCAACGCCCTGTGGAATCTGGACCACACCAAGGTAAGGCTGCTGCCCTCCTGTTCACTGCCCACATGGACATGGGCTGCTGGGACAGGCCTGTGAGGCGCTGAGAGGGGTCACCTGTGTCCGAGCATGTAGCTAGGGAGTGAGAGGCCGTGTTTCCAGCAGAGCAGTTGATGAACAGTTTCTATGCTGCTGCCAGGGGTGGGGTGGGGAGGCAGGCTGCCTCTCAGACCCTACTGTCTCCTGACAGTTCAGAGGCCCTGCTTCCAGGACTGCCCTGAATTCAGGCCAGTGAGGCCACACCGAATAAACTCTTAGTGAGTGGAGCATCATCATGGCTTCTGAACTCCGAGACCGGAAGGCCCTTTCTCTCTCCACATAAATGGCCTGACTTTAGTGACTCCATCAAAGTGCCCGATTCACATTTGAACTCATTTGCATCTGAGAGAGACCGGAAGGTTCTCTCTGAACCATCCCGTTTCCCCGTTTGCACTCAGCTAATGCGCTGAGTGGCTGGCCTGGCTGCCTGTGCATCTCAGATCTGCACCTTTCATGTCACTGCTGAAGGAAGAAGCTGGGACTCAGCATTCCAGAGCCCACTGTGCAGGGCATGGGGTGGGTGGGGTTTTCCACTGCTGTGGACAGCTTCGAAGGCCAGTTGGTACTGAAGGCAGTCTGGGGCTGTGAGAGTGAGGTCACTGTCCTCTCTTACTTTGGTCCTGACCACCTGGCTCACCTCAGCCAGGAGGCTGCAGTGTCTGGGCGGTTCTGGACAGGCTCATGTGGTCTTTGTGGTTGAGTAGCTGACTCCTTACAGGAACTGTGACTGACTGTGGGTTGTACCCCATCAGCTGGTCTCTGAAGCCTGTTATCCCCCAGGCACTTGTAGGCATGCTCACAGACATGTGTCTTGTCTCCCCAGGTGGAGCCCCTGCTGCTGCTGAAGGCAGCCCTCATCCTGCAGACCTGCCAGCGCTCGCCCCATGTCCTAGCTGGCTCCATCCTCTACAAAGGACTGTGAGTTTTGCCCACCTATGTTTGCCACTGTCCCCACTAGTTCCAGATCAGAGTCTGCAGTTGTTCAGCAAAGGCCAGGTCATGTAGATTGGCCGAGCATCCATTGCCATTGGGAACTGTTCAGGAAAGGAGCCCAATTGCACAGGGAGTAGAGCCCTTCTGAAATGCTGGGTATCTTTGTGTTCTAAGTGGTTGGCTCAGTGATTCTCTTCCAGTGCACACAGGTGGCTTACTTGTGGTTTTGGTATGCCTGCTATCTTCTCGTGATGAGTAGCCATATGACCCCTCAGTCCTGCCTGATTGGAGAGCTTACATTTTGACTGTCAGTGGGACCTGCAGAACAGAGAGCCCTTCACTGAGGATCTACCTGATGAAACTCCTGCCAGGCACATCCCCAAGATCCTCTACCTCCAGAGGCACTGCTATCCGTGGAGCTGAGAGGCCCAGCACTTCTTTTCATGGCATTCTTATCCCTGTGTTTTACCCCCAGGATCGTGAATTCCCAGCTCCCTCCTTCTCTTACCGCCAAGGTCTTGCTTCATCAGACTGTCCCTACAGGCCAGGTACAGTACAGCCTACAACTTGGTGGGGGACTGACCCAGAACATCTGCCCTCCAACTGAGGGGGGCTGGCCCCACATGGCGGGCGGGTCTAGGGCACCTGCTTCACTGAATCTGTCACAATGCTTCGTCCGCTGGTGTGGTCAAAGAGTAAAGATAGGGTAGAAGCAAGCATTTGCCCCAGGTGGTGGGTCCATTCAGCTTCCAATAACACAGTGTTGATGACAGAGCACTGTAAGGAACATATTCTTTTTTTTTTAAATATTTATTTATTTATTTATTTATTTATTATGTATACAATATCCTGTCTGTATGCCTGAAGGCCAGAAGAGGGCGCCAGACCTCTTTACAGATGGTTGTGAGCCACCATGTGGTTGCTGGGAATTGAACTCAGGACCTTCGGAAGAGCAGGCAACGTTCTTAACCACTGAGCCATCTCTCCAGCCCCAGGAACATATTCTTAAGTCAACAGGGAAACTGCTGGCCGTGGTGCTATGTGCCTCTTATGCCCGCCCTGGGAAGCTAAGGCAGGATGGTCATGAGTACAGAGCTACCCTGGGCTACATACTGAGGGGATGTCTCTGAAACTGGAGGAAAGGAAGAAGGAACAGAAGGGAGGGCATTCTGTGTGTGTGATGAATACACACAGCCATGGAGAATAAAACTGTGCACAGGCAGGTGTCATGGCAGAGAGAAGCAGGTGGACTCCATAGTGAGCCCCTGTTTTAGGAAGGGAGGAAATGTCCCAGATAACAACATAGGACCCACAGCCATCACTGAGCAGTTTCCATCTAGACTCTCTCTCTTAAATTGTTTTGTTTTGATTTTGGAGATGGGGTTCCCATTGGATAACCTGGTCTACATTGAGAGTTGAACTTCTGATCCATCTGCATCACCTCCCATTGCTCAGGTCCCAGGCTAATCCACCAGCTTGGCTTGTTTTGTGAGCTTCTGTTTCAAATGCTTCACTGGCCTCTCTCTAACCGTTCAGAGCCTGGGTGGGCTCTAGCTTCCTGTGGGTGGTGTGTCTGGAGGGCCACCTTCACTGTTAGCAGTTTGGAGCTTTAATACGCCCTTGCTCACCTCCTCTGATTCAGCTGTGGGAATCCCTACAGAGGAAAGCCAGCCCTCCTGGCCTGCTAGTGAAGGGGGAAGCTAGTGGGACATGACTGCCTGAGGGCGCTACCGACTGGCCTGCTGATGTCGCCACACCACGTGTAGTTGTGTGGAGCTGCTGTTGTCTGGTACAGCAGTGCCGATCAGTGGTCTGGATAGAGGCTTACAGCCCCGAGGCTGTGTCAAGGAACTGCTAGTATCTGGTCTGTGGCTGAGGGTCAGTTGTTTGGCAGGAGCTGCTGTAGACTTCCTCAGATTTTAGCCAGAGATTTCACAATGAGTGCAATCATATAAGCTGTTTTAAGTGGAAATACTGAATTTCATTTAATGTCTCAAAGTAGTAAAAGGCATGTACTTAAAGGGGAAATTCCAAAGTATTAACAGGAATGGGGGGGGGATATAAATTGTTTCTTTGTTTATTGTTGCTGGGGATTGGAGCCCCAGGCCTTGGGCTTTGTCACTGAGTGGTATTTGCTGCCTCTATGGCTGCTCTCTAGACTTAGGTTCCCCAACGTGGGCTCAAGTGAGGAACCCTTGCTTTGGTGTTTCATGGGAGACACTTAGCACTTCAGAGCTGCTACTTTGAGGCCAGAGTAGGTCCAGTTCTTGCCTCCTGGCCTCTGAGAAGCAAGTGGCCCTGCTCCATCTGCTGGGCTCTTGGCACAGGGTCATACCAGCTCCCTGGGTTTGGCTGAGTCCTGTGAGCAGATGGTGCCATGAATTCCTAATGGTTAAGAGGAGAGCATGGTGCCTGGGGCCAACCTGTGTATTTGTTTGTTTCAGAGACTTCCTGGAGCAGGGGCAGCTACGCAGGAAGCAGGTATGTGGTGCGTGGACAGTAGTATGCTGCCTTCCTCCTGGGATAAGCCAGGGAGAGAGCAACCAGCCCCCATGTGGATCTCCTCTGCTCATAGATTCAGCAGATGGATCTAGCACAAGCTAGGACAGTTCTCTTTGGGACCTGGATTTCCAAGGTCATGATTTGGGCGTGCCCTCCTTTGACTCTATTCTGTGACATTGCTTAGACAGTGTCTGGGGTGTGGTAATGGAGGGAGAGATAGAACACTGGTGGCATCCCCAGGAGGCTCTGGCCTCCTTCCAAAGCCTGAGTTTGCTGAGTCTTGGCCAGCTGAAACTCCTTTCTCCTAACATCTGTCAGGTAGCTCCCTCTCCACACTGCCACACTTCTCTCTGTTGCTGCTCAGAGCATCCAGGCTGCAGCTCTGGGGCTTTGGGCTGAGGGAGCAACCCCGGTGCTACCATAGTGACATTTGTGCTTGCCAAGGGCCCACCGCATCCCAGGGGAGCCCCAACCATGTTTTTATTTGCAGGAGCAGCATTGCCCCCTAATGTGCATATCACCCCTGTTTTTCTGAGTGAGGAGGAAGTTGCTAGCCTCCGTGTGTTCACAGTGGAGCAGGAGACTAGGTAGGTGGGGTGTTCCTTTCATGTGTGTGTGATCCTCACTTGTGTCTTCATTGTCTTGTAAAGCTGTTGATCAGAGATGTCCTGGCCTCCCAACACAGCGGACTCAGTGTCCCTTCAGCTGTGGGTGACTTCCTGTGTGGCCTTGGCTACCTCTGGTCAATGATCCTGACCTCATTGGGCAAGTCCTCACCAGTCATGGCCTTTTTCTACTTTTGTGGTTTTACCATGGTGGCATCTTAGCTCTATGACTGCAGATACCTGCTTGTCATTGATGC